AAGCTTATCGTCACCGAAGTTAAGCAACGTCGAGCCTTGTCAGTACCTACATGGGTGACAGTTTGGGAATACCAGGTGCTGTAAGCTTGGATGTGTGAGTGGTGTAATGGACAACACAGAATTGTTAATTGGTGAGCTGTGTTCCAATTCTAGATGGGTTCGTTATATTCATTACACGCAAATAGCCTTGGGAAAGTTATGGAGTCACCTCCTCTCCTGCAGGTAGAAGTTAATTAGTTGGACATATATCCTTAAAACTGTTATTATCTTCCCTCACCCCGCCCCCAAAAAGATTTACAATCTAAAAATATTTTCTGATTTTAAATTACCAGCAAAGGGTTGATAAGCCGTAAAAAAAACGAAACAGTCAATTATTCTAATCTTTAAACTAATGTTCAGATTTCCTTTATTAATTTTCGATTATGAAATCTTCCATCTTATTTTTGTTGCGTTGAAGGAATCTTATCTTTATGTCTTATTCATAAACCGGTTGTAAAATATCAAAACCATAACTCATGGAAATTAATGGTAATAAAAAACCGTTTTGGGTAAGACGATAAACTACATCCAGCAGCAAGGCTTCTGATCAGGGAGTTTTGAGAAGCGTGGAAACACCTATTAATTGCTGGTGTTCCCAGGTTCACCATTACTCTGTGTGGTAGCCCTTGTTAGGCTCTCGGCTATGGGTAAATAGTTAACATCCAAACTGCGGTCAAAACACGATGAAAATGTCAAAATAGGTTTTCATACCAGAAATACTTTGTAAAAAATTACCAGCATTTAATTTTTGAATTAATATTTTTTTACCAGCAATACATTTTTGAAAAAAAAAAAATTACCAGCATCTTGTCGACATTAAATAACCCATTGTGTTTGATATGCCGTAAAACAAAGCAAACCAAACCAAGCAATAAAAAGGCTTAATCTAACATCAAGAAAACCTAGGAAAAGGGATAGCAGAAATTTCTTGGATACTTAATATACTTGGAGAATACTTGGATACTGGAGAATTTACCAGTCATAAGGACGCACTGATCGTAAGAGATGAACGGGGTTAACTGCGAGTAAACTAAGACGGAAAATATGACACTGCTATCTAAAGGTGCCTGGAGAACGCGAAAGATGACCAAAATATTATGACACAAGTGAATGTCGTTAAAAAAAAAGAAAAGAAAACAAAATGAACGTTATACAGCAATACAATGGGATTTACGTAAATATAATAAAATACTACAAATGCTCGGAAAATGTTTGGAACATTCCATTGTACCTAGGAAGTACATGTTTTATTTTACAAGATTAGGAATCGAAGAAAAATCGATTTATGACTTATTTCTCTCCCCACTAGAAAAAAATGTACTTTTAGCGCCATACTTCGATTGTCGCCAGACTTATCTTACTCCTTCCTCCAGAATTCAAGAATAGACTTTTAGCGCCTTACGTCGGCTGTCGCGACTGAAGCCTTATTTCCAGTTCCTCCAGAATTCAAAAATTGAAATTTTGCCGCTATTTCATGACTGTCGTGTCTTACGTCTTACTTCCACTTTCTCCAAAAATGGACTTTTACTGCCTTAACTCGTCTCCCGTGACGGAAGCCATTTTTCCACTTCCTCCAGAATTCAAAACTTGGATTTTTACCGCAATATCTCCGCTGTTGCTACTCATGTCTTCCTTACTCTTCATCTAGAATTCATAAATAGATGTTTGCAGTCATATCCCGGCTATCGCGACTCAAGCTTTACTTCGCCTTCCTTCAGAATTCAAAAAATGGACTTTTGCCGCCATAACTCTGCTGTCGAGATTTAAGCCTTCTTCTTCCTCCTCCAGAATTCAAAAAATCTTTTACGCGGCCGGATTATCGTTTAATTATCTCCATTCAAATTCCGATTTTTCTTCCGTTTACGATGAAGGAGTCCATACTTGACGAAGCTCCAAACTTTTAATGTCTATCGTCTGTCAAGTTCATTTCACAACAGAAGTCAAACAATCTCTCTCTCTCTACATATATATATATATATATATAGAGAGAGACAGAGAGAGAGAGACAGAGAGAGAGACAGAGAGAGAGAGAGAGAGAGACAGACATAGATAGATAGATAGATAGATAGATAGATAGATAGAATCCATCTATCTCTCTCTCTCTCTCTCTCTCTATATATATATATATATATATATATATATATATATAGGTTAGCATATACAAATTATTACTATTTATCTGTATATATAGGATTGGGTAGGATAAAAATCTACATACACACTCAAACACTCCCACGTAAAATATAAATTTTATATATTTATATATATATATATTATATATATTTTATATATATATATATATATATATATATATAACCGTTTAAATGTGTCAATGTCTGGACCTCAATTAATTTTAAGTATAAAAGAATAGAAATTTTAAATTACGTCTAACTCACTCATGTCTTCTCTCTCCCCCACACTTCTTCACTTCGTTAATTTACATATGCTTAATATGGCCCGTCAAAAATGTGTAAATTTCTTTTCATTTTTTGTTTCAACCTTTGGAAGTAAAATCTGATGATCCGCAGTCTTTTAAAAGGGCTGTGGTGAAATAATTTATTACATGGAACCTTAAAGTGGTCTGTTTTTTATTTAAATTATTTAATTTTATATATATATATATATATATATATATATATATATATATATATATATATATATATATATATATACCAGTTGTAACAGTATAATTATTCATCCCACAAAAGATCATTCGGACTTTCAGTAAAAGCATGACATTGATACTCTGGCTTCCATCTTCAAACTTGATTCAAGAATAATCAAGAAAATAGTGAAAAGTTTAGAAATGCGGAAACAGACGAGAGAAAAACTGGATCAGATGGTCACATGATGAGGATGAATGATTTCAACTTAGAGCTAAAAAGATCAATTCGAAAACATTAATTTATCAGACGTTTCGCATGTAAGACATGACTGTCCAAAGATCAGTGAAAAAAACTAGAAAATGAAAACACACGCGAAACCTGTGGAGCAAGATGTCGGTCCAGGACAGAAAGTTAGATGGTTAGAGGTGACGAAGTTAATCTTGGATAAGTTGAAAAATTATCCTGCTATATATGATCCTGATATATATATATATATATATATATATATATATATATATATATATATATGAACTTTATTTTAATATTTCATGAGCTTCCGATCCTTAGCTATGATTAATTAATGATGAATATGTCATTTTTGTTTATGATCTATTTCATTACGATTCTTTTGTTAAGCTTGGAGAGTAATTATACGTGCTTATTGCCCAAAATAGAGACCAATAGTGTTATTAAAGCCTCGAAGATTATATATGTATATATATATATACATACGCTGCGTGCCAAATTATTATCGAGATATCTTTTTTTCTAATATTTCAAAAACCGTCCAATCAATTCACACAATGTTGGCAACACTGACCTGCGCAATCACTGAAATTTTTATACTGATCTCCGCAATGTTACCGTGCTGATAACAAATATGGCGCCAGTTTGTTTACATTGCGCAAATCAGTATGAAAATTTCAGTGATTGCACATGTCAGTCTTGCGAACAGGGTGTGAAAATTTTGTGTGAATTGATTGGACGGTTTTTGAAATATTAAAAAAAGTTATCTCGATAATAATTTGGCACGGATATATATATATATATATATATATATATATATATATATATATATATATATATATATATATATATATAAAATATGTCGTGCAGTTCAATGTATAGTACAATGAATCATTCATATAAAAAGTAGATTAATAAAGTTAAAGATATAAAATGGCGAAATCCTTTCGCAAACAAAACTCGTAAGTTCCATTAAACTACGAACCACTCGATGAATGTTATGATCCTTGTTTTTAATAACTACAAGCTGTATAATGTCTTTTTTAAAAATCTTCAAGTACTTTCAACTGTACATTCAGTCATCCTCAGGCTTGGAAATTATTTTGTTTTTCGTAAAATCCAGGTTGCATCAGAGACGAAAAAATTAAATGCGAATCGAAATATGTTTTTTTTTTTTTTTTAATGTGTTATCGTTAACCGATGCAAAATGTTGGAGCTTCCTGTCTCAACGCTAAAGTTGATTTTTTTTGCAAATTTAAGAAAGTGCGCTTTTTAATGCTATGGCAATTTGAGAATTTTTTTTTGTAGGAGTTTATCAGTCAATATGGCATAAACTAAATTTTTCAATAGATAGAGTAATGATCCGATAATGGCAAATTTTCAGGATAACAACTGAGACATTACTCTATTTATTGAACAATTTAATTTTTAATTTGATTAGCGATTATAACATTTCTGGATCCAAAGTATCTTTTGAACCAAAAATCCGAAGTCTTGAGTCCTTGCATTATTATTATTATTATTATTATTATTATCATCATCATCATTCGATTTCTTCTCACACCACTACCAAGTCAACGGAAAGACCTCGTGCTTTGTTATTATTTATTTAAAAATTTTTTTTTTTTTTTATCTCCGATGAAGTTGCTAGCGTCAATAAAGTTTTTTGTGTGTGCTGTTTTTTCAAATAAACCAGGATTGTTTCAATGTGTTGTTTTGTTCCATTTTTTATAAAAAGGCACCTAAATCAAGGTATTATTGGATTTTTTCAAATTTCCATCTCCTTGATTTTGAAACATTTTCAAATTCTATAAGTTATTTATACTTTATTTAGGCAAGTTTTTTCTTTCTTTTTAATAATGTCCGGCCTTTTGCTTCTTTTTCTGTCTGTCTGGTATTCCCATAGAATGGTGACATCTTCAAACTTTATATGGCCGATGTTCATATATATTATTATTATATTATATATATATATATTATATTCTCCCTTTCTATCACAAAACGTGTGCTTTTAATTATTTACTGTAAATAGCGTTTTATGTTTTTTTGGTTTTTTCATCTGTTAGTATTTAAATCGAACTGGGATTCAACTGTTGATTTTGAAACATAATGCTCTATAAGTTATTTATACTTCATTTCTTGAAACGAATACTACTGTTTCTGGTCTTTTCAAAAAACTTTAAAGAGTAATTATATATATATAATATATTATATATATATATATATATATATATATATATATGTTTAGAAAATATGACAAACTGTAATATCACGTTTCATCTGTATCATATATATATATATATATATATATAACGAGATATATATTTATAAATTTTTGAAAGATAATTTAAATATTTTTATAAGAATATATATATATTATTATATATCATACATATATATATATATATATATATATATATATATATATATATAATTATTTATATATTATATACGCAGAACTTATTAGATAGCGCTCAATATCAGATCTTCCGATCTTTGAATTTCAACATACAAATGCGTATGTATATAGACAACAGCTCACGTATGCATGCATATGTCAAATCTCATACTGTCGACATATGTTTATATGTTTATGTCTGTATGAGCCATAGCGGACGAGCAAGTGTGTATGTGTGTCTGCGTACCTCATCGAGTGTACGGACATGCATCTATGTTTGCGTTAGCATGAGTGACATCACGACGACGATTCCCCACCTACTTCCATAATAACACCAATTCACGCAAACTACATAAATCCAAATTTAAAAAAAAATAATCAGTTTGTCTGACGATCGCAAAAGCGTGAAACCCAGGGTGAAGAGACAGAAAAGAGAAAGTGAAAAGAGAGAGTGAAATGAAAGAAAGAGAGATTACAATGAAAGAGATAGTGATACAATGAGAAAGTGAGAGTAGAGGAGTATAGATTGAAAGGATATAGAAGTAGAAAACAGAGAATTAAAGAAATAGAGAACAAAAGAGACAGCAGAAAGAAAGAAAGAAAGAAAGAAAGAAAGAAAGAGAGAGAAGGGTGCATAAGATAAGAAAGAAAGAAAGAAAGAAAGAAAGAAAGAAAGAAAGAAAGAAAGAAACGGAGGAAAAGACAGTGAGGTAAAGAGAAAGAGTGTGAAAGGCTGGGAAATGGCGAAGAGAAAGAGAATGACAAAGAAAAGGACCGAGAAAGACAAAGTGGGTAATAAAAAGAGAGAGAAAAAGAAATTAAAAAGAAAGAAATAGGCAGAAATCGACAGAGGGAGCAAGGGACATAGAGATAAAAGTAGAACAATAAAGAGAGTGGAAAAGAGAGTAAAAGAGAAAGAGAGAGAGTAAGAAAAAGAGAGAAGACGAAAGAAATTGAAGGTAAGAGAAAGAGGGAAGAAAACGTACAGGGAGTTTTGATTCAGGTTTTTACTCTTCTTAATAGCGACATATTGGTGAGTTCGTTAAACAAAAGAAATTTCGACGCCATTTGCATATCGATTAAATGGATCTTTTGTAACGACCATTTCGGATTAGGGTTTTAAAATTTCTTTAAAGACCTTTGATTTACACTTTAATTTTCTGCGTTCAAACTATCTATCTCAGTCTGTTCATATCTATCTATCTATCTATCTATCTCAGTCTGTTTACATCTATCTATCTATCTATCTATCTCAGTCTGTTTACATCTATCTATCTATCTATCTATCTCAGTCTGTTTACATCTATCTATCTATCTATCTATCTCAGTCTGTTTACATCTATCTATCTATCTATCTATCTCAGTCTGTTCACATCTTCACATCTATCTATCTATCTATCTATCTATCTCAAATCTATTCATCTATCTATCTATCTATCTATCTGTTCATCTATCAATCTATCTCAGTCTGTTCAAATCTATATATCTATCTATCTATCTATCTATCTCTATTCTATCTATCTATCTATCTCAGTCTGTTCACATATCTATCTATCTATCTATCTTCATCTATCTATCTCATCTATCTATCTATCTATCTATCTATCTATCTATCTATCTATATATCTATCTATCTATCTATCTATCTATTCATCTATTTATCTATCTATCTATCTATCTATCTATCTATCTATCTATCTATCTGTTCTTATCAATATATCTATGTTTTGTTTATAATTACATTCATACCGCATTCTGTTGGTATCTGTCTCTCTTTGTTTGTTTATATCTTTGGATAAATCTGTTATAACCACGCATAAATGCACTAATATATATATATATATATATATATATATATATATATATATATATATGTGTGTGTGTGTGTGTGTGTGTGTCGATATGAGAGCTTTTAAGTATTCTTACACACTCACTTAAATTACTATGCACACATACAGAAATACGCATTAACACACAAACACTCACACGGATATATATATATATACACACGCACAGTCGTCGATTATCGCCTTCGCCCAGAAAGGAACCTGATAAGTTTCATTCACAAGTCACATTCGATTATTCTTAATAAGTAATGATATAAGAAAGAGCTGAAGTTTTTCACACATTTCGAATGATTTGTTGTCCTTTTGCCTATTTTATTCGGCATTACCAGAAAGCGATTCAATTCTGACAGTTATGAATCTAATGAGATTTCTTTATTACGACGTTTACCTCGTAAATCTTTCCGTTGCCAAGCCTAATTATAAAATAAGGTTAAAAATACACAGGTGTATTATTGTCTATTTTGTTTGAAAAATCATCATTTTATAATCCTTATTATTCGTCTGTTAGTTATTTAGTTAGTGAAATAGTTAGCAAGTGCATTGCAAACTGTCATTGTCCCAGATAAATAATGTACCGTTCCCTTTCGTGAAAAAACAAAGGAAAAGATATGTCATAGACGCTGTTTGATTTTAGTGAGAAAATGAATGCAAACATAAGAAAGAAAGAAAGAAAGGAAGAAACAAAGAAAAGAAGAAAGAAAGAAAAAAGAAACAAAGAAAGGGAAAAGAGACAAAGAAACGAAGAAAAATTGTTAGAAATGAAAGAAAGAAAGAAAGAAAAAAAAGAAAAAGAAAGGAAGAAAGAAAGAAAAATAAAGGAAGAAAGAAAGGAAAAAAAACACCAAAGAAACAAAGAAAAAAGAGAAAGAAATTAAGAAATAAAAAAGAAAAAGAGAAAGAAAGAAAGAAAGAAAAAAGGAAAGAAAAAGAAATGAAGTAATAAGAAAGAAAGAAAGAAAGAAAGAAAGAAAAAAGAGAGGAAGAAAGAAAAGATGCAGAAACGATAATGAACTTAATTTCACATCTGCTTCAGTGAAATTAAAAAAAAAAACTTGCCCATGTTTAATCTTTTCATTTGTACCACACCCCTCTTTCTTTCATGTAACGTGAACCCCCCATAACGTACACTATCATGACTCTCCACAATTTCCTTACCCCCTTACAGCACTGAATAAATTATTTCGTTATTTCTAAACCCTCTTCCACCATCATTTTATCAATCTAAGTGTTATTAGTTGTCCCTCTTAGGAGGACAGATATTACGTAAGAGTTCAGTACTTTTTTCTCTGTTTCTAACAAAGTTTTTCTGTTTCTCAGTCCTCTGCCGTTAAAATGCTGCCCAGATATTTAAAAGAATTGTACTTGTGTGACTTTGGTATCTCCGATTTGGAATTTGCATTTTGGGCTCATCCTTCTGCTAACAACCATGCATTCTGCCGTCTTCAAGTTGATGTTTGTATCCTTATATCTTGATTTCCCTTCGTTACCTTTAGTAGGAGGTTTTGTAGTTTTCTTACCGTGTCTACTATCAACACTGCATTATTTGCAAAGCTTTTGTTGTTAAGATTGTGGACAACAATAATGAATCCTGGTAGGATATCTAACTCTCTGAATCGCCCCGATGTTTGGTTGAATAAGTCCGGTGAAAAGGCATATCCTTGTCTTACATTCCTTTCGATTTGGTTTATATGCAGAGCTTATTTTCTATCCGTATGCCGCCATTACAACATATGATACCCGATAAAGAATAAAGGGCGATATCCAAAAGACTCTCTCTCTCTCTCTCTCTCTATATATATATATATATATATATATATATATATATACCCAATTCCCAGGTCATATATATATATATATATATATATATATATATAGCGTTAAAAATCATATATATATATATATATATATATATAGTTAAATTACCAAATATATATATATATATATATATATATATATATATATATATATATATATATATATATATATAGTTAAATTCCCATATATATATATATATATATATATATATATATATATATATATATATATATATATATATCGTTAAATTCCCAGATATATATATATATATATAGTTAAATTCAAATCATATATATATATATATATATATATATATATATATATATATATATATAAAAAATTTCCAGATATATATATATATATATATAGTTAAATTTCCAGATATATATATATATATATTAATATATCGTTAAATATATATATATATATATATATATATATATATATATATATATATATCATTATATATATATATATATATATATATATATATATATATATATAGTTAAATTACCAATATATATATATATATATATATATATATATATATATATATATAGTTAAATTACCATATATATATATATATATATATATATATATATATATATATATATATATATATATATGTGTGTGTGTGTGTGTGTGTGTGTGTGTGTGTGTGTGTGTGTAACGAATGCACTGCCTCAATTTTCGATGGATTTGCACCAAAATTTACCTGCACATGCACATTCTCTAAGTTGGCGACATTGCATTTACTAACACCCATCGATAATGGAAATAATCGATTTTTTCATGCTTCTACGGCAGTTTTCATGTAGTTTGCGGCCATTTTCTATTGACCAGAATGAGTGCTAATACTTGGCTGCCACGAATAGACAGGATGTTTCTATTGGCCAGCGTGAGAGCCAACAGCTGACTGACACGAATGTTAAAAAATGCTAGCATAAAAAATCGATAGCTGCATTCGTCGCAAGTGGGAAAAATTTTAATCTGCATGATACTTTACTTCAATTGGCTCATTCGCTTGCTTAAACTCAACGTTGATTCTGATTCCGCAGAACTGGGTTGGGTGTGAAAAAGTATTTGTTGTTAACATTCTTTTTCATTCGGTTTTTCCAGTTACGAGTCCTTTTTAAAGCTGATAGTTTTGTGTTCATTTTGTTTAGTTCTTTTTTCGTAACAGATTTAATGTTTAGTATAGAGCTTAGAAAAATTCGCAGTGTGAGATAGGCAAGAAGTAAGGCATGTAGCAACATCACCACGGCAAAAGGGAATTCCTTTAAAGGCAAGGAAGGGCAAAAATATTTTAAGTGTTAAATTGCTGCATGATCGTACGATTTGGATCAAGACAGATTGGTATAAAATGATAATTGAAAAAAAGAGAGTTTTCCCAGATTTTCTGTGGATAAGACGTTTTCGTCTAATGACTTTTCAAGGAAAAATTTTTAAATTTTGCCGAATCTTTTTTGTTGTTATAGTTACATTAAAAAATACAAATTTAAAAAGATAGACACTACTGTCTAAGCCTTTTTTTTTTCTTGTTAATATAAATTACCTTTATAGTAAGGAATTTTTTTTTCATGTCGACAATATAGTTAAATTCCCAGATCAAAAAAAAAAGGCTTAAACAGAAGCGTCTATCTTTTAAATATTTTAATGTAACTATAAAAACAAAAAAACATTTTGATTTCATTTTTGTCTTGAAAAAGTCGGAAGACGAAACGCGTCGGCAGAATCTAAGATTTTTTTTTCAATTGTCATTTTATACCATATATATATATATATATATATATATATATATATATATATATATATATAAAGATAGAACAGTAAATATATAATCCGGTGTTCTTATTGATATTTTTTTTTTTTACAAAACAGTGCTCAATGTAAGAGCATAAATATTAAAAATTAACTGATTGAAAAATATGTTTTTTCGCTACACAGTAATAACCGTGTTTCAAAAATGGAAACTAAAAACTTTAAGTTTAATTATATAATTAAATTAAAAGCATTAATTTCGTTTCGTCTTCAAGCGAATATTGGAATAACTTATTTGTAAATTTACTGAATTTTAAACGCACATAAAAATTCATAATTTCCTGTTTCCAAGGATACAGAGAAATCTAATCATTTAGACATGGGCGGTAGCGTGTTCATTTTTATTAACTATTGTATCAATTATGAGTTACGTTCGAAAAAGGTAAACAAGGTGCCCAAACAGTAATAAATGAGTCACATTCTTAGGTAAGATAGAATTTCCTAGCAAACAACAAATATTTTGGCATTTTCTATTGGTTTGAGAGGGGTCATTAACATTCAAATAGTTCTTCAGATTAAATAACAGTATAGGTTGTTGATTATTCAAATATCCTTCCAAAATATGGGAAGGCTGCCTAGCCGTTCCAACAGATCTTTCTGGTACACTTTATTGATCGCTTTTGCATAATCTACAAAACATAGGTATACATCCATCTGCATCTGTATTGCTCTTTCTGGTAACAATCTGAGCACACACACACACACACACACGCACACACGCACACACACACACACACACACATATATATATATATATATATATATATATATATATATATATATGTGTGTGTGTGTGTATGTATATCATGTCATTTGTCTCTAGTTCCTTCTGCATATATATAAATATATATATATTTTTTTCCCCAATTCCTTTTATTATACATTTTTCTGTATTAATTTTGAATCTCTCGTTGAAGCCTGAAGAGCGGGAGCGAAACCGGTTGCTTCCCCATTGTTTTTTTTTTTATTTTTTTTTTTAATATGTCTTGCAATATTAAATTTTATACTTTTATTTCGATCATTAAATTTTGTACCTACAAAAATATCTTTAAATATATATATATATATATATATATATATATATATATATATATATATATATATATATATATATATGGATAATATATATATATATACACACACACACACACATATATATATATATATATATATATATATATATATATACATATATATATAATTTGTGAGATACCGATTTTATCTATATTTAAACCTTATATTATATATATCGCATGGAACACACTGATATATATATATATATATATATATATATATATATATATATATATATATAT